TGAAATTGTGTGCAGATGGATGGCCAGTGCATGCAAAACAGGAACCTGCACTGAGAGGATACTGGCCAGAACGAGCTACACTCACTGTACAAGATGGATTACTACTGAAAGACACTAGGCTTGTGATCCCATCCACTCTGAGGAATGAGGTGTTGGAGAGGCTGCATGAAGGACACCAAGGGGTGGTGAAATGCAAAGAACGTACTCGTCAGTCTGTGTGGTGGCCAGGACTCAGTCAGCAGGTCGGTGAAATGGTGCTCAAATGCAGGACATGTATTCAAGAGCGTCAGAATCCTAAAGAGCCACTCATGACATCTGAGTGCCCTGAAAGACCATGGCAAAAGTTAGGGACTGACATGTTTGTACATGGAAGGAAAACATACTTAGTTGTGATAGACTATTTCTCCAGATATGTCGAGATTGCACTGCTATCGAACATTAAGTCAACTGATGTCATTGTCCACCTGAAGTCAATCTTTGCCCGGCATGGGATTCCAGAGGAGTTGATGTCAGACAATGAACCACAGTTTTCTGGCCAAGATTCCTCTCATTTTGCATCCACATATGGGTTCAAACATGTTACCAGCAGTATGGGTTCAGTCTGGCTCAGCTGCTTATGGGGCGACGTCTTCGTACCATTGTGCCAACTCTTCCCTCTCAGCTAGACCCAGCATTGCCAGATGTTGACCATTTTGCTCGTAGAGAGAAGAGGAAATTGAATACTGAATACTAGAACAGGAGACATCATGCAAAACCTCTTAGTGATTTGGTACCAGGAGAGCATGTATGGGTCACTGATACAAAAGAATCTGGGACTGTGCTGCAGAATCAGATGAGTCCGAGGTCATATCTGGTGGATGTACCTAAAGGTGTGGTGAGACACAATCATCAGCACTTGATACCCTTACACACACATGCAAGTGAAGGAGGAACTGTGGAGCAGCAGGAGTTACCAGAGACAAACAGTGAACAAGTTTCTACTTCACCTGGGAAAATACTTAAAAACTTTCCTAATGTGACAGCTACCCCAAGGACAAGATCTGGGAGAGCTGTAGTTAAACCAGAGAGACTGAATCTGTGAACTGAGAAAGTGAAAAAGAGTTCATGTTGATGTGTAGTTCAGTAAGAAATCTGAGGTGCAGAATAGTTTAGACACAGTTAGGTGTATTGGATTAGTAAATAGTTATATGATAACATTTTCTTCCCTACAGGATTTAGATAGGAACAGACCTTCAACAAAAGAGGCAGAATAATCCTCTAAGGTCTGGTGAGACAAAGGTAGTCTACCCTTTGTTCTCTAGAAAAGGGAGATGTGGTGTAGGGTAAATGGAACCTGTTGATGTTTAACTGTGAAGAGGAACCAATGTTAGACAGAGAGTAGTGAAGGACATATTTTGAGGTGACACAGTATGAAGGAACCGGAAGGGAGGAGTTAAGAAAAATAAAGCAGTTTGTGTGCAGAGAACTCACGTGTTAGAAGTATTATTACAAAATACGACAGTTACTAAGGGGTTTTCTAATACATAATTGCCATTTCTCATCAGTAATGTGTCACTTGAACTGCTAGGCCAAGGTAAGTAAAATTGTTTTGGAATATAGTTAGGAGCTGTGACCCCAGCACCTTTGGAACATGTCAGGTTAACAAAATTTAAAATAGTGACAAAAACTGTTTATTTTATCATTCTGGTAATAATTTAATTTTATTTATTTATTCAATTGAATTTGGCTAGAAGAGTCTTGGTGGCCATGTGTGTGATCCCTTATAAAACAAAAAATTCATACAAATCAGATGAGGCAAAATTACTGAAAATATTAAAGTACTGATGGATATGATAAATTTTGGTGAAGATATTCTATAATTTGATTATTTATGGTTAAATTTTGCTACTCATCTCACTATGGCTTACTCTGTGTGTGTGTGTGTGTGTGTGTGTGTGTGGTGTTGTGTGTGTGTGTTTGTGTGTGTGTGTGTGTGAGAGAGAGAGAGAGAGAGAGAGATTCACAATTAAAGGCAGATACATTGCGTAGGATTTTTTAGCACAATATGGAAATACTTTTTGCAGCTCATTTTCAGCTGTTTCGACTAACAGATGTGGAATGACTTGCCTAATTTTCTTGTGACCATTACTAATAGACCTCAAGCCTCATGAAAAAGGGCAAAAGACTTATTGAATCAAGAAAATAGCTAACAATGCCAAATGGATTTTATGCTGCCAGACTGAAAAATACAATGACTTCTCCTAAGAAACTAACCTTTGTGACTTGACTACCTTCTTCTACTAAAACATGTCAGCACAATATATTCCATGATATTATATTTGCTACTCTGTTTGTTTAAATCATGATAGGCTAGTAACACAAATTATGAATACATGATTTCTTTCAGTATATTCTGTATATTCTTCCATATACAGCAATGTCAGGTGTACTCAGGTTAGATGTGCAAATTATTAGCTTATTTATAGGAACTTTGCTCCTTTATACTAGGGCAGAGGAGATAAGATACATGCCTAAGACATGAGGGCCTTTGGAAGGCTAAGGCATGGGTCTTCTGAACTTTTGGGTCAGTATGAACACAGTTTCCATTTAGTGGGATACAACGAATTTTATATTCTGATTATCGTTGTTTTATTTAGTAGTATGTACCATCTGTTTTTCTTCATTTGAAGGTGGTATTTTGTATTTTGTTTACCCATTTTTAAAGCAACCCAGACTTGATTGATTGATCAGGATCTTCAACCTAGGTTATTTTTCAATATCGATCAAGATCATACTTGTTTTAGAATTAAAAACTGGTCTTTCACTCTCAGGAGTAGAATTTGATTTCTGATTGTATTTAATTACCAGAAAGCCTTTTTAGCTTGATAGGCTTTTGACTTTACTGTAATTTCTCTCTAATTCCATCTCACAATGGCTGATGTACTTAATTTATGATTTAAACTATTTTTAGCTTTATTGTTTTTAATTATGTCTGTTTTTGTGTGCATTTAATAAAATGAAACTCTTGATCATCCCTCATCACTACAGGAAATAAATAATGGTTTTGTACTAAAGAAAGTACGCATAGGTAAATTTCCTCTAGCTTTGCTTGCATGACCTGTTTCAAGGGAGGGGTTATTGTTTCATGCAAGAAACTAAACCCTGTCAACACTAATGTTATAGCAAATTCAGTCAAGTGAATTAAGCACAAGACTAAAATAGGCTGTTTTGACTAATATTGCTGTTGTTTCCACTAGACATTATGTAATAAAGATTTTGACCATAATCTTTCCTGTAAGATCTGTAAGATAAATAATAAGATCTCACTTATTAATAAGGCATTGTAGGCATTCCTGTGCTTTTTAAAAGAGTGGGGGAGATGTTCTTTAAAATGGAAATGTTCTTTCCACAAATTCATATAAGCCATATGGTTGGATTTTCAGTCACATTGTTGGTCATTCTAACATCTGTACATGAGGAAGAATTTCTTAGAAACAATGAATTGGCCTTGCACTTGCTGGCAATCTATTTCAGTCTGCATCCTTTGTTCTTGGGCTGAGAACAACTAATGTGGCTCTCAAAGTTGCCACTTAATTCCCTTGTGCCCATAATTTTCACAAAATTTATTACAGCTAGTGACAGGTAACTAGAATGTTAGATGGAACTATTTCTATACATCTGGTATTGTTAAGAAAAAAAAATGTTGGCATTTCAGGTTAATTCTCTACTTCACCTTAAAATATATATATATAAAATATTTGTTTGAGTTTGGGAGCTGAAATGTTTGCCACCTGCTGATTTTTTGTCCTGTCAGGTTCGCAAGACAGTCATTAGTTGCCAAGCCAGATTTATTGCAGATCAGGTTGCAAACTGCACCCTGGAAGTTATCAGTTTCAGATTAAAAATATTCTTCTTTTTTCATTTATTTTTTGTAAATCTTTGTATGTAGCTTCTTCTAATATATTTCTTTTCTTCAGATTTATCTTCTTTTCTTCATTAATGATAGAAAATAAAGAGAAATAGCTGTAACATAACCATTAGAGTGCATATTTTGTATTTCTGAGTGTGTTTTTATGTGCGTGTATATATACTTCTTACATTACAAAATAAATTATTAGTTTAAATTTATTTATTTTATTTATTATGAATGTTGTTATGAACTAAGCAAACGCACTAGTTTAAATCCTAATAGTTTTACTTCCACAGCAGGCTCGTAATCCTGCACTTCTCATTGGCCCGCAGTTAGCAGATCGTGATTGGTCGTTTCCGACTAGTCTGATTGGCTGATAGTGGGTCGCCGCTGATTGGACGCTTCCAGCGCGGCAAACTTAAATCATTGGACACTGTGACAGCAGCCAGCTCTATAAAAGGAGCTGCTGCTGCCTTAGCGAGTTGTTCTCTTTCTGAAGTCACTAATAAAGAGTTGAGTCACTATTCGATGCCTCGTCTCCGTTCTTTGCGCCCACTCCTCCAGATCTAACAAATGTTGTTGTGTTGCTTCAGTCATGTGTTTACTTATCTTCAGTTATGAGAAGATAAATTCTGGCTCAGTAATAGGAAAAATGTCCTAATTATTAGAGCAATTTCATAGCACAACAAGTTCTGTTACCTTCCTTCAATGTGTTCTGAATTTATAGTCATCCATCAGAATTTTTTTTTCATTTTCATTGAATCGAGAATTGAACCTAATGATTTAAATCAGTATTTCTCAATTTCAGCAGTTTTAAGATGTGTGGACTTCAACTCCCAGAATTTCCCAACCATGATGGCTTGGAAATTCTGGGAGTTGAAGTCCATACATCTTAAAATTACTGAGGTTGATAAACATTAATGACTACCTCTTTTTTATTATTTTATTTTTTACATTATGTGAAGAATTACTTTATATTTTTTTCAGGATGATTTTTCCAAAGCAGCTTATAAGTAATACAACAACTAAAAAAAATAAAAAAAATAAAAATTATAGATGGCATTTTCTGCCAGCACAATTAGCAAAGATATTTAAGGATATGTCTGCTAAGTGTTGGAAATGTAACCAGATATCGGGTTCATATTATCACATGTGGCGGACATGCCCAAACCAAAGGCAAAAAAATATTGCACAAAAATACACACAACAATGGAAAAATGAAGAGATTTCTATCGGTAAAGTTGTAATAAAATAATATTAAAATGTGCAGAAATGGATAGATTAACACTTAAAATTAAGAAGAAATTGAATATTTTTTTAACATGGGATTTATTTTATCAATGGCTAAATAGCAAAAACAGAAGTTAGGAACCTAAAAGTATAAGAGGGGGATTAATTACAATGATGATTTAATAAAATGGATAAGTAAATATTATTATTATGTTATTATTATTGATGTTAAGAATATTATTGTTACTATTACCATTACTATATCTCAAAGTCAATTGTACTCAGATAGCACACTGTTTATATAGTTATTGAATTTTTATATTTTACATTGTTAAAAAATAAAAAAAATAATATAAAAAATAAGTAATATAAAAACTATACAAAACAATAATGGAAGGGGGAAGGAGAGGGAGATTTGAAATCCCTAAAAGGTTTAAGTAACTATTTAATTACTTTCATAATTGTTAATCAAATTGCTCTGGGGTTTAGAAAAGGAGGTAAATACCAAATTCTAACAAAGAATATTCTAATTGATTGGCTAGTTTCCTCAATTGTTCATTACATGATTAATCTTTATACTTCCATTTGACTCTCAGTAATCTCTTTGCTCATTTGTTGCTGTGTTCACAATGTGCTTTTTGATTATCTTTTCCAGGATTCTTCCAGGTATTGATGTAACATTGATTGGTCTTTAGTTTTCTTGATCCATATTTTTTCCTTTTTGAAAATTGGGAACCACATCAACACTCTTCCAATCTTGGGTAGTTCCCCAGTGCTCCAGGATCTTTAAAATATTATATTCAATGATTCTGAGATCATGTCCACTACTTCCTTCAATTCCCTGGGATGTAATCCATCTGGTCCTGGCAATTTGAACTCAGAGTGGGTAGGTATTCTCTTACCATTGACTTATATTCCCACTCTGTCTTCTATGGTTCTGCTCTTGATAGATTGGACTTTTTTTCCCTTTTGGGTGAAAACAGATGAACAGAATAAATTAAGTAGTTCTGCTTTCTCCTGCTACCCGTCAACTCCTTACCATTTTTCACATTAGTGGATCAGTCATTCCCTTGACTTTTTTCATGATTTTTACACATTGAAAATAATGTTTTTTAATTATTATTTTTGACATTTGTTTATAACCATACTTCAGGCTGAGCCTTAGCTTTCCTTACTATTGATTTGGGCTACTTGCTGACATTCTGTGTCTCTTTTTCTGGTTTTTTAATCTTGTCTTTCAGTTTATCAGAGTTTTTTTTAAAAAAAAATTAATTATTTTTCAGGGTTTTTTCATGCTGGTTTCAAACAGGGTCTGTTGTTTTTGTTTCTCAATGGTATTGTGTTATATTGGGCTATTTTTATCTCATTTTTCACAGTTTCCCAAGCTACTTGAGCTGTTTTCCCCTTTTCCCCTTTCATCCATGGAACCCTTCATAAATTTCTTCTTAATTTGTTGAACTCAGCTCTCTTAAAGTCTAAGACACTTTGTCCTGCATTATGTTGAATTTCAGTATGTCATGGTCACTCTCATCCAAAGCTCCAACTTCAACACCCTATATCATTTCATCTCTATTAGTAAGAATTAAGTCCAGTATAACTCACCCTCTAGTTCCCTTTTCTACCTTTAGAATGACAAACCTGTCAGCTAGGCTCATCGCAACCTGTTTGATTTTTCACTTTTACTGCAGTTTGTCTCTCAGTTGATGTCAGGGTAGATAAAGTTTCCCTTTACTGCTGTAGTATATTTTCTGTGAACCTTAGCTAACTAAATAGAAATTTTTTCATCTATTTCCTCTGCTTGGTCAAGTGATGGTAAGTTGAGGACTACCTGTATAGATATCTGAGTCCTCTTTGACTGACCCTTTTCTGACTAACTGCTCATAGCTTCTTGATATTGCTTTCAGCATTTTGTTGTATCAATTATCTTCATATAAAAGAGGAGAAAGTGTAAGATCCCGCCTCGCCTGCCTTTTCAAGAAAGCAGAACTCTCGAAATGAATGGCATTTTAAAAGGATCTTTTATTGGAAGACAGTGATAGCAGAGAGAATGTAGGCAGAATATGAATTCGAAGACTAAAGTGTTAGGTTAAACCTCTCCTTTCAATACCCTTCCTAATGTCCAGTTTGCCTTTGAGACAATCCCAAGGTGTGAAGATATTGTGAGAACTTCAGGTTAAGAAGGCAGTTCCCAGGTACCACACTCCTCCAGTGTTGAGACAAAACAGATGGCCCCAAGCACATTCTTCCCCCCTCCCAACATCCCAAAGGTAGATCAAAGCAGAGGAAAGGAACAAAGGAAAATCCCATGCAAACATAACCTGAATCCTCCCACTAGAATGGCAAGGTCCCGATAGAGATCTATGGGACCTGACAGAAAGGGATAATAAACTTAATGCTTGATTATTTTAGTAAGGCTATCAGTCATATCCTTGATCTTTGCTCCAGAGACAGCATACTTCCCTTGATACATTGTCCGGTCTATAAATTGCAAATTCAAATTATACCAATTGCAAAAACTATGCAAACTGAAACTATATCAACATCGATATCAATTGTTTCCATATCTTTGCCTACACCAATATTCTGATAGTTGCTAAAATCAGTGAGACACAATATAAGTATATAAGTATTTTGGTCCACATTTCATTTGATAATTTGTTTTAATTACTCGATGCTTTTCATCTGATTGTCTTTGCCTGTTTTAAGAGATCAAGCCTTCAGTACTCCTTTTGGCATCCTTCAGCATTTTTGGCAACAGATTTATCACTACTGTACATTTTGGCATTGTTATTCAACATGAAACTAGCGGAGTATTTTCCTAAGGCATTGTTATGTTTTGCCTGACATTTTTTTAAATTATCAGCCTGAAGAATTGCCTCAAGATTCTCTGTTGGCAGATTCATAAGTTACCAATACATCTTGTTGATGAGCTACTCTCCCATTTATTTGTTGAGACTGCAGGCCACTTACCTAGCCTAGGGATCCCCAATCCTTGGACCGCAGACCACTACCATAGGAGACCTATTTCTCTCAAGATCTCCTCTACCCACAAGACACCTCATGCTCTACTTCCTGCATTTTGGATCCTGCAATTCTGTGTTGGGTTATAAAGACCTACTGCAGTCATCATAATTTTTAAATGGGGTCTTATTGTTTGTAACATAGCTCATAACCATGGGTCACTTTCGCAAAATCTCTGGTTCTTCCATTCAGAATATTAATTATTTTTTCCACTTTTTTAATGCCCTTGTTCTGGCCTCTTTTTGGCTGTCTTTAAATGAAAAGGCCACTATTATTTGCATGGCAACAAATATGCTGATTACTTTGCTACACAGGCTTCACTTTAGTCATTTTTTAAAACTCTTTTTATCTTTTCTAATAAAAAAGACATTTCAAATTAATTTTCACTTAAATTGTACTTATTAGTCTCTTACCTAATGGAATTACCTAATGTTGGAGTAAAAAACAAAGTCTTCTTCCTATTCTTGGTGTCAGATCCAGTCTGAGGGTCCAGCATTGTCACACTGGCCTAATGGGTATTTGTGAAGTTCTACTTAGAGAAACCACATCCCTCAACCTTAATGGAAAATACTTTTAACTACTGTCTCAGCAGTAATTGTCACTAGAATGAATTCCTGAATCTATCCAACCTATTACATGTTAACTGACAACCATCAGAAGAATGATCACATACTTTCTGTTGTGGGTGCATCTTGTGACTATACTTCATAGGTTAACTGAAAACAGTAACATCTACTTGTGTGTTTTGCTATCTGACTGGTTGTTATTAAACATTGCTGGAATTCAAGGCAATTCTCAAGAAGACAACTCTTGATCTTGTTGGCAATGCTGTTATTTTAAATTGTATTTCTATAAAAGTAGAAGTAGTGACAAATAAAGGCCCTTAGTCATTTTTCAAAATGAATAAGACCAACAATCATTATTCAGTAACTTTTCTCTTTACCTATTGGCATTCCATACTAATTTGGCACACATTTGTTATTCAACAAGATTTTATACATATGTTGCAGCAGTTTTTCCTTTATAATTTATCCCTCAAATATTTTCCATGTTGAAGATAGCTTTAGGAAAAACTGTAATTACTTATGTAGACATGGTCCACTCAGACTCAATGAATTAACTAAAGAAACAGCCAGCTGGCTGTCTCTAGTTGGGCCAGTCACTTTTTCTCAGTCCTAGAAAGGAGACAATTGTAAATCACTTCTGAAATCTTACCAAGACAATTGCAGGGATTTGTCCAGGGAAGTGCCAACAGTCAACATTGTCTCCCCCCCCCCAAAAAAAAAAAAAGAGAGAGGAGAGGAGAGGAGAGGAAAGAAGAGGATAGGAGAGTTCTATTTTAATTAAATTAGAGGATGTTGTATTCACTTCAAAAGCAACCAAAGCAAAATTCAAAAATTCAACAAAAAAATTAGATTATTTTACATGATCAAAACTACCACAAAGTAGACAGCAATCATACTTTGTATGTGTTTATATTGTTATTGCTTCATAAATTCCATTTGACTAAAACAGGCTGAAATCCATTTAAGCTAACATAAACCCCTATTAGTAATCTTCAACCTGTTATAGTGATTCTATGTAATGCTTTCTTTTGTGATTTCTTTATACATTTGAAATATGTTATACTTTTCTTTTCCCTATTACATTCATATGCTTCTTAGATCTTTTATTTACAACAGGACTGGAAAATATTTTAATAGAAAATATTTCTATTAAAATAATAAGAAACACACTTGGAACAACCAAAATAGTTCTGAGGAAGCCATATGAAAATGGTCATTTTTAAAAAGGAAAAATATTAAAGTATACTATTAATTAAAGTTGTGAAAGTCAACAATTTTCATTAAATCCATAAATCTTGTAAAATATTTAGATAATACTAATCTACCTCTGATGACCTCATATATTAG